TTTTATTTGTTTGGTAGATGGAAAGCTAAATTGCAAATGTTTGTTTATTGAAGAAGCTTTGTTACAATTTTAAAATTTAAGCTAAAGTTTATATTCAAGTTATTACTTTGAAATAGCTGATTGCTGTTAAACTTAAATTGTTTTAATCAAGTTTAAACATTCCCTGTCAGTTGACGGGTATTTCAGCTTGTATATAGATATTAAGAAAAAATTGGTGAAAAACAAATTAAAACAAAATGTACATAGACAGTATAGGAAATAAATAAATAAACTATTCACATAAACACATGGGAGAAATACAAAGCATGAAACAATCACAAAAATTGTGTAGCGAAGAAAGTTAAGCATAAAGCAACACAATGAGCTACCTATGACCTGCCAATCACGGGTATCAAAACCTGATTTTCAGTGTTAAGCCCTTTGAACATAATATGTAAATAAAACAAAAAGACATGTTCAGATTACTGTCCACCCTCCTGCAATGCCCATTTTGTCAGCAAAACTCAGTCATCCACCTCCCAAATATATAGACTTCAACTTTACCCCTGTTTGTGAGCATATTTCTCTAAATTATTGAAACACCATATTGCTTGTGAGTCCAGGACTATTGATTACATGGTTCCTACTAACATGAGTCACAAACACACACAAAATAGTATCAACATTTTAATTACTCTTGCTAATTGCTGCTGGGATTTCCCACTTTACATACAAAATCAGTGTGTTCCCAAGATTTTTGGTCAGCTCTTTACATTGAGTAATATAACAAAGAAAAAAAGTGAAACATGATGCAATATAGGAACCTCACCTGTAACAAACTGGTATAAAACAAGTCAGTAATTTGAGGGTTAAATGAATTTAATATTCATTACTATATATTTTTCCTTAAATTTGCAACAAATAATTTTTTGATTCTTACACTAAGATGTGACTATAATACAACATTTATATTTATTCTTAAGCTCAATTTAAAATAAGCTGACTACAACAGAATAGCTCTTACTTTAACGTGGGCTCACTCATAGGTTTGAAAGTTTGACCATCCAGGTTAATAGTAGACTCCTCTGTTATGTTAAACAGAATCTGAAATGGAGAAAACCCTCCTGCAGAAGGTGTTGTCCCCATGAAGTCTAACCATCGTTGAGCAGTGCACTCCGATCCCCAAATGCCACACATCAACTCTAACAATGGGGATCCTGGGGTGAGGCCTTGTACATCTTTACATGATGTGAAAAGCCCATCAGCAAACCTATCAGAAGAAAGAAGAGACTTTTTATTACTTATAACTGACTTATTTGTAAGATATATGTTTCATCTAATCTTTTGAGGTTCTTTTTTTTCCTTGACACAGCCATTAACAAAACAATAATGTTAAATTATGTTTGAATGAATCAGCTTTGGAGTTTTAACTTCTCACACAACTGCTACTCCAGGGCCACATCTACATTCCTCCTAATACACGAGGTGTATTTAACTAGCATGTCACCTTTTATTAATAATTTACAATACCAAGTCTTGAAGAAGAACAAATGACCAATTTAACAAATTTTAGCTAAGTACTTAAAGTTTCTGTGCCCTTGTGTGTTTCTCAACAAATAAAAGAAATATTGTCAGAATTCATAAATTTTATTACAAAATGTGGCACCATTCTTGAAAAAATGTAACTTGTATGACTGAAAAAAAAATCACTTAATAAACAAACTTTTTGAACATATTTCATTAGATATTTTTTTTATAAGTTTTTAGCAATATTCCAACATTCTCAAAACTGAAACTATAAAAGATAACTAGAAATTGTATGAAAAATGCTAGTGACCTAAAGCAAAAACTATATTTACCACATATACCACATTTTTTACTTTCCTATAGAATCTGGAACATCCTAAGTCACATGCTAAAGTCAGTCCTTGGTGTTATTTTCTGTAGCAAGTTCAATCATAAGACTAATTTTTGTTTCTTGAGATAGTTGTATTATGTCCTACTTTACCTTACATACATGACTGTCACATGGAGCAGAGATGCTTCTCAATTCTTGTAATTTTCCAGACACAGAAAGAACATGAAGGTGAATACAGTTATTAAATTTCCAAACAAATTCATTTTGAATCTTGAGAGAGCCATTAATCACTGTGGAGTCATATCACTGATTTTCTAACAGCATCTGCTGATCAGGTGTTGTTTAATTCCATTTTCAGTAAAGTTTATATTTACATAACTTTCATTAAGTACAGTTTAATTTCTTCAACATTTTACATCTTTTTAGGTTTTCATATTCAGTTTTTCTTCAGTAAACAGTACTATTTATTTCATCTTCACACTGTGTCTTATCTTTATTCCACTTACAAGTTATTACACCTGGTCTTCCACATACTAAATCCTTGAATCTCTTATGGAGTTCTATACTCAAGTTATCCTTGAATTACCACACTTTTTAAAACATATACTTTATCATATTTTGGGAAGTTTCCAGGCCCATAGAAACAGCAGTGTTGGTGATTTATTAATATGAAAAGAATTGATACAGAATCATTATGCTTTACTTATACACTCTGGTACACTATCTTTGACTAACCCTACTTAATTAACAAACCATGTACTCAATTTTTCATAATGATAAGTACTTAATACCTCTTGGACATGAAATACTGAAGACCAGTTACTCTCTCTCCCTTTTCATCATCTTTCACAGAACTGATCACTTTCAAAAACATGTTCTGTTGTGGTGAGCAGGTTGACTGACAAAAGTTCTTTTGAAAATTCCTCATGCATGATGGGCATCTACCAAAGCCAAGGGTCTCAGGGGTCCTCATGTTCAAAATGAGGTTTTCGATCTGATTTTTGTTACAACAAACAAATGGCTCATCTTCTCCATCTGTCAAGAAAATGTTTTGACAGTATTAACCTTTGCAATAAAGGCATAAAAATAATTAAATCATCCGTATAAATAAATCTAAGGTAGATATGTTCTATAAGTTTCATGTGCTAACTAAAATGTTTCTGCAATACTCTGGATCATTTTGACATGTATTTATATTCCAGATAAATTTTAAAATGTGAAATTTGCAAACCTTTTTTAAAATAACAAGAAACAGTATAAAATGGAAACCATAAAAATGCTCAAAAATTTGTATTAGAAGATCATATAAAAAGCTGATTTTTCACTAGAAACTGGAGAAACAAACAGTCCAACCTAACATTTTCAAATTAAGACTTGATTCCAAAAAACCTTTCTTTATGTCCAACTTATAATACAAAACATTTCTGACAATGTATTAATTTGTGTAACCTTATGATGGGAGTTAAATAAATAACGAAAATAGTTTCAAAATTCCTCACCTGGGACTAATTCAGGACAGATTTTCTTTAAAGCAGCAACTGTCTCATTGTCACTCAGTGGCTTAGGAGGTCCATCATAACGACATGGAAGATCTTGTCCAAATTCATTTTGTCCACACGTTCCATACCAAACACAGTGTCCTTCTTCTGCACACACCTAGTAAAATAATAATAAAAAAAAGATAAATGCATTTCTTCTAACCAAAATAATACCAACCTAAAATATTTCAAATGATATATTATTACTTAGAAGATACATTGTGGATAATAATTAATTTTAAATATTGAAATGACCTATAGCTTCCACTTGTGTCATTTCCAAATTACCATAAATTAATAAAACTCACTACATTAACCATAATGAATGTACTTCTTCTACAAGTAGCTACATTACCTCAATGGTAATTTTTCATTTCACTATCCAAACTTTATAACAAGGAAATTTGTTTTGCATGTTTGTATAAAGCATACTTAAGAACAAATTTATCCACAACTTTATTAATGAGTTTAAACATATGTGAAAACAAAAACTTTTGTAATTACTATAATATTGTTATAAAATACCTTCATTACTACTTTAGAAAAAAAGAAGTCCAACTTTCTATTTAATAAAGTTGGACTGTTTTATAAAGCATTAAGACCATTATTCATACTTTCCAGTCATGTTTAAACCTTATTAACCGGTTACTTCACTTAGACTTCATATAGACTAATATTTAAAGCAATAACAGACTGCAATGAAATGGTAATCCAACATCTGAGACTGAAACTTTTACTTCTTGGACCAGTGGTTTTCAAATGCTGTGTGTTCACAGGACATTTGAATATTGATTCCATAAACAATCTGAAAAAAAAGTTGTCACATTCTCTTTAACTTATATTAAGCAATTCAATATTATCAATAATATCATTTAAGCGAAAATGATCAAACCCAAGATTTCTCAGTTAATTTTAGTTTCCTTATCCAAGAAAAGATATTGACTCATTGGAAAAGGTTCAGGGAAGAGCTAATAAGATGATTCTAGGAATGACAGGGATATTTTACACAAAAAAGGTTAAAATCTCTCCACTTATTTTTTTTTTCAGAAAAGATGGTAGGAGGGGATCTCATTGAACTTTAGAAAATTACCCAGGGATCAACACTTTCATTAACCACTCCCTAAAAAACGTACATCATGTATAATAGTTAAACGAACTGCCTAAACATCACATTAGTGTAGCCTATATAATGTGTAAAGTTTAGTATACTCTAATCCCTTTATAGTGATAGTGTGTCTCATCGTGTGCAATTCGGCATGTAATGCTGTTTGAAAACAAGAAGGGAAACAATGCCTGTGTAGTCACAAAGAATATCAAAGAAGTTTATGGAAATGTTTTGAACGTTTGTAAGTGTCAATGATGGTTCAACAAATTTCGTTCAGGTGACTTTAGCCTTAAAAACTGTGATGGCAGGGGCCGACATATTGGAATAGATATTGATGCTCTGTAGACACTTGTTGAGTCTAACCCAAGGCAATGGCCCTGAAATTTCATGTCTCTCATGAAACAATACGTAAACATCTAAGAAATATGGGAAGACTCCATAAAAAAGGTGTTTGGGTGCCTCACGAACTCTCCGATGATCATCGTTTCCAATGTGTGAACGTTTCTTCTGGCGCGTAATTCGCGTGAAACATTTTTGGACAGAATTGTCACCGATGATTAAAAATCGATTCTGTACGCGAATATTAATCGCCAAAAACAA